CTCTCTCTCTCTCTCTCTCTCTCTCTCTCTCTCTCTCTATCTCTGCCTTTCTATCTGTTCATCTATCCAACTCATTCTATACTTGCGTACTTATTCCTTTGCTCTTTCCCTGGCACGATCCTTCTCGGTCAAAGTCTCCCTTTCAAGCGAGCAAGTGCTTTAACGAGAAAATATAAGGAGATCGGACCTGAGTTCTTTCGTGTTCGCGAGTTTTGCAAATGAGTCGTAAAGGGCGGAAAATTAGCTGTTAGTTGTTATGTGGATTTTAATTACTTGTTGTTGAAGGGGCATTAAGAAGGCGAAGAGGCGCCCTCCTGAATAAGGGATTCGCTCTTTCACTGGATCGTTCGTTAAAACTGGAGAATTTCAATTTTCAACCATGCGAGAGGCGTGTGCTATGTGCTTTCAAGTATGTCCAACTGACAGCAATTTTTCCCCCCTTTCTCTTTTACCCTAAGCGATGTTACTCTTTCTATGGATTATTATCACCATTAGGTAAAACAATACATCCGATTCGCGACCCCGTTGCCGCAGTTATGCTTCCTGGTGCTATCTGTAGCGCTCGATTTGTCACCAAGCTTTTCCTCCCGAGGGATAAAAACATTTCAATAGCAAATCAAGCGGTACGAATATCATTGGTAAATAAATTTTTTTTTTTTTTTTTTTTCTTATAAATTCTAACTTGCAAGTCAATTATCAACTATAAAGCTCGGATGATTCCATGAAAAACCCTATCAATTCTCTTAAATAAATATGAAATTTTATAACAACGGGTAGTCAGTAAGCTTATCATTACGAAGATTCATCATATTTGCAATGATATTTTCCATCCGATCGATGCCAAGATTCGCTTAAAAATGAAACGAATAACAATGATATCATCGTGAATTTAAGTTCAAAAAAAAAAAAAAAAAAAATTATTATCATATATATTTTTTGCTAGAAAGATTTAAGCATTACGAGTATTTATTATGTACGCTCTTTATCAAATTGACTGGGGTGGGGTGGGATGGAGGGGAGGGGATAACGATTGAATCTAATAAAATTAGTGATACTTTTAGTGGCAATGGTAAAAAAAAATTATGCACGAGTACTAAAGAGGTTAACGGACAGATAACAATA